ACAAAGATGAGCAAAGCGTTTGAGAGCCACTGAGATAACTTAGACTAAAGTTTACAATCTAATCCCTCAGAGAGTCCTTTAGCTCAGGGGTTCCCAACCTTTATTGTGCCAAGGACCGGTAGATACATTAAAAAAAAATCGCGGACCGGTTGTCAATTTTAACTGATTTTAATATTTACTCACCACCAGCAGGTAGCAACAGAGGCTAATTGTATGTAACAGCCTGAACAAATACTAGAACAATATGCATCCAAAACATATTAACAAAGTTTAAAAAAGAACCGGTGTTGTTTTTTGGTTTTTCGGAAAACCAAATAACCGACGTTATTCAGTTTTTAAACCAAAACGGGAAAACAGATAAATCAACGTTTTGGTTTTGTTTGTATGATTTACGGATAATCAGTGAATGCTGGGTAAACGAGGAGAAGGCGCATTATGAAGGCGATGTCCGGTCGCCAGGGTGTGTGTGTGTGTGTGTGTGTGTGTGTGTGTGTGTGTGTGTGTGTGTGTGTGTGTGTGTGTGTGTGTGTGTGTGTGTGTGTGTGTGTGTGTGTGTGTGTGTGTGTGTGTGTGTGTGACACTGGCATTTGTTTTCAGAAGATATTATGATAGTGTGTCGTTCGTTCCGGTGCACTCCGACAGCATTTAGCACTACATCGAGATTAAACTAATTTATTTTGGGAACAGCCGCATATATGCCGGTGTCAGACAGACACAAACACACCGAACACACAGAGCTGAGCTGAGCAGAGCACATACACACACACAGCATGCGCCTTGGTGACTGACTGGACATCTCCTTCATAAAACTAATAACAGGGGGAGTAATCGGGCAGTTCGATGTGTGTAGATGTGTGTGTGGTTAACACGGAGCAGCCTGCAGTCACTCTTAAACTGTTCTGATTAAGTTAAACACAGCGAAGGCGGTGCGTAAAAAGGCACAGCTCTTTACCGAGTACGTCCCGCTGCCTCCTGATGCTGCAGCCATTTCATGAAGTGAAGGAGGGTTTCCTTCTATAAAACAGCTGCGGGCAGCAGATACCGTGAGAGTCCCGGACATTAATTCATAGATCAAGGCAGACTGGTTTACTCTCCTGTTTTGCCAATCCGGTGCTTAAACAAATAGCTCTACCCCTGGCCGACATGTCCTTAAAATGAAGTCCGAGTTTGAAATATATCTGAAATAATGTATGCACCACCATTTCCCCACATAAACATAACCGTCTGCAATCAAACGGTTGTCTCCTGTGCGCTCCTCTTCCTACTTGGCGCACCGGTAACATGCTCGTGCGCACAAGAGGCTGAGACCTTAGGCTGAGCCGCCGAATCCCTCGGAACATCATAAAAGCCATTTTCAACGGTTTTCTGGTGAAAGATTAACTAGCTACTGGACTAAATAATATGACTGGTGGCATAGGTGCGAAAATTAAACACTTTTTGAAAAAGATATTATGATAAAATATTTTTATATATTTATAATACTGCAAATATTACGATCAACTCACAGCTATTTTGCGGCCCGGCAGTAACACCTCCGCGGCCCGGTACAGGTCCGCGGACCGGGGGTTGGGAACCCCTGCTTTAGCTCACTGAGCGGACGTGATCTCTCTCAGTCCCCCAGGAGAGAGCTCTCCCTCTCCTTACTGTTGAGACAGCTTAGAATCTCCGTTAGCTCAGAGCTAGCACCAGATGCTAACAACAACCCCCGTAATTCTCCATGTCTCTCTCTCTCTGTCTCTCTCTCTTTCTATCTCTCTCACACAAAATACGCTCGTGCCACACACACACAGATGCTCCTCCGTGACGAGGACCGCTTGCGTAAAAAATAATAATAAACACATTTAAAAAGTGGGGGGGACACAAATGGGATTTTGAAAGAAATTACGCCCGTGTGTGTGTGTGTGTGTTTGTTTGTGTGTGTGTGTGTGGCCCTGCAGTCAGTCTCTGGGTGTTGTTCCACCCCGCAAACCAGATCCCTTTTTCACACACACACACACAGACACACACCCACACACACACACACACACATACATACACACTCACGAACACACACACACACTCACAATCACCTACATACACACACACACACACTCACACAACACATACACACACACACACACACACACACACACAGAAGTCTCTGTAGGCGTAAAAATGCATCAGTGTGTAATTTCCTTTGTTCAGCTCTGTGTAACACAGCAGTCAGATTCTAATTTAGACTTCATTATCAGCAGTTGTACTTGTATTACTAAATGTGTATTTTCCAAAGCTTATTACATAATGTCGTTATATATCAAATAAAAGTGATGTAAAAGTTAAATGTTAAAATACATATTTCTATAGTGGACCCTGAAGGCAGCATCTCCCTGGTCCAATAGGAACTCTCCATTAGATTTTGAAGTAAGAAGCCTGAAACGCCTCCATTGGACTCCTCTGTTTACTTCCTGAACATGATGACATCACTATGGAATACTCACGCTCCTATTGGCTTGCGCTCCAACACATTGCTATACACCTGAACATCAGCAGGAGAGGACTCTTTAAAGTAGAGACACTACATACTGATATACACCTGAACATCAGCAGGAGAGGACTCTTTAAAGTAGAGACACTACATACTGATATACACCTGAACATCAGCAGGAGAGGACTCTTTAAAGTAGAGACACTACATACTGATATACACCTGAACATCAGCACGAGAGGACTCTTTAAAGTAGATACACTACATACTGATATACACCTGAACATCAGCAGGAGAGGACTCTTTAAAGTAGAGACACTACATACTGATATACACCTGAACATCAGCAGGAGAGGACTCTTTAAAGTAGAGACACTACATACTGATATACACCTGAACATCAGCAGGAGAGGACTCTTTAAAGTAGATACACTACATACTGATATACACCTGAACATCAGCAGGAGAGGACTCTTTAAAGTAGAGACACTACATACTGATACACACCTGAACATCAGCAGGAGAGGACTCTTTAAAGTAGAGACACTACATACTGATATACACCTGAACATCAGCAGGAGAGGACTCTTTAAAGTAGAGACACTACATACTGATATACGCCTGAACATCAGCAGGAGAGGACTCTTTAAAGTAGAGACACGACATCCTCCTCGTTTGCAGGCAGATCCCATGAATAGTCAGTAAGCTCAATATATTTCCATAATGAATCTTACTTTCATGCCAGTATTTTCTTTTTACTTAATCAGAGTAGGCGTCATCATTTCCAAGTTGGCTGCAGGGATTCAGAGTGAGGGCACAAATGGATTCATACGTTTCTGTCCACGATGCAAATCAGCGGGGAGACGAGATAATGAAGCCCCCGATGAGAGGAGCCTGCCAAGCTGCTAAGAGCTGATACACCGATCAGTGCGCATCATGAAAATATTGATCAGGCATCATCCAAATGAGGCTAGCCAAAAGAAGCATGAGTGTAACATAGTGATGTCACTGTGTTCAGTAAGTAAACAAATGAGTCTAATGGAGGCCTTTCAGGAAGGGGGGGGGCGAAAAGCACAGAGATGTTAGTCTTTGCAGACCAGTTACATGAATACAAACCTATATAACTACAGGAGAGGGAAACCCCCCAAAAGCACAATAGGGTCTCTTTAATGTGTCTAAACCTTCTACACAAATGTGTGTGCTTCTTATCTGCTCGCCCCTTAAATCATATTGAGCTATAACTCAGAGAAACTAGCCAATAAGAATGTAAACCACACAGCATTAATATATATATTATATGTCCCGTTTTACATTCACCTCGTTTTACTTCCAACGTCTCGCTAAAAATGCGATGGCCAGAAGAAGGTAGAAGACGTGGAGCCGTGGATTTGTGCCAGTTTGTCCTTTGCATCGAGTCCTCTAGGGCGGGGGGGTCAAACTCAATTTCATCGTGGGCCACATCGGCATTATGGTTGCACTCAAAGGGCCGGTCGTAACTTTCAATCTCAATCTTTATTTATTTATATTGCACATTTAAAACAACCTCAGTTGACCAAAGTGCTGCACAGGGAACAAATATAAAATAACACAATAGGAGTAAAATAATAAAACAATAATACAAAGCACAATAACTAGAAACATATAAAAACACATACAAATATCAAAATGTTATGTTCAACTAGTATTAAAAGCCAGTTCAAAACTTTAAGACTATATATAAATACATATTTAAATATATCATATATATATAAAATAATGTATTATATTACATTATTGCCTCTGCATTGGATTATTATTGGATAGGCTAATAACTTCATAATTAACTACGTCTGAAAAGCAGAAGTCTCAGGCAAAAAATTGCAAGTCTCTTCAGTGTCACAAAATGAGATGCATTGTGGGACATGTAGTTTATGGACAACGCGCCTCTGTAAAGCGGCATTCAACCGTATAATAAACATATTATATTCTTTGCAAGCTCTTGCGGGGCCACATGAAATATAGTCGCGGGCTGGATTCGGCCCCCGGGCCTTTAGTTTGACACCGCTGCTCTAAGGGGACAAGTGCATGCTGTATTTTTCAATAAGATAAACAGATTCAACAAAGATGGAAACATTGGCAAATCTTTTCCACATACTGCACTTGGTGTTGAGCCACACAGGGCCTGGGAATGCAGTCATCTTAAAATAAACATCCAGATTGTGTCTCAATGTAAGTTTGGCTCGGTCATCCACAGTGACTGGATGTCAGCTCAAACTGATCCGTGTCATATCGGCCTGAATTATTCCTCTGTTGCTCAGCTGAATACGTGCCTGAGGTTTTCTATATGGTGTCATACCTTCAGAGCTGCTGGTGTTAACCTCATTCTCATCGAAACACTTCTCCTTCAGTTCTCAGAAGAAAAACACTGGAGGTGAAATGAGGAATCAGAAAACATCTTGCCACGTTCAACTTCCCCTCTTCTGTCGCTTATCAAGATCTGCTGTTATCATCATCGGTACTGAGTTCTAGTTAAAGAAGCAGCAGTCGACAGCCAGAGACCGAGAGAGAAGCACGATGTCTGAATTCAGAAGGATCATGATGTCTTCATTCCTGATGCTGCTGCTCCACTTTCCAGGTGAGGATGCAGAGAACACACACTGTTTACGACTGTTAATGAAAGCTAGTGAGGGCGTCTTTCAATTGAAATCGATGTATCCTTGGGCAAGATGCTTAACCCCAAGTCGCTCCCAATGGGGAACGGTGTGTGAATGATACCTTCTGTCGTGGAGTTTGAATCAGTTTCTACATTTAATATCCACTTTCCTCTATCGGGGTTGTGGGTTATGACGCGCCTCTCTTTGCTTCCAAACTAACTTTGCAGAGATTGTTGTAGTGTTAAATCACATCAGGTTTATTCTTTGATCAAGGCGACATACAAACATGAAGACAAACATCCTCGCTTCAAAGTAACTAAAAGTTCTCCGTATCAAAAAAGAACAAAAAGAACAAAAAGAACACGGTCAAAAGACTCTACCGCTTCCTGTCTAATCACACCCTCAGCTGTGAACCAAGGTCATGCCATATATAGACATATAGACATATAGACATGCACGTCATATCTGACAGCAAATAAGTGAGACTTAAACTAACATCTTTTAAAGCGTAGTGTGACTCACAAAAATAAATAGTTAAGAGTTTCCTCTAAAGCCTTTTAGTAATAAGACAAACAATCAAACCATAATGATGAAAGGGAAATGGCTCTAACCCCTTCATTGAGCAAGGGGCACATTGCTCTGTATGCATTGGGTGTGAATGGGTGACTTGTTGTATGTAAAGCACTTTGAGGGGGTGAAAGACTGGATGAAGCGCTTTATAAATACAGTCCATTTACCATTTACCAATTACATGAAATAAAACAGCTTTAATATCACTAACGGTACTTTACTACGTACTGTTCCTTTAACTGAGAATGATGAGTTGTGTTTGTAACGTGGTGACTTTAGTGAACTCTTGGTCACTAAAACCCACATAGCAATACTCTTTAAAGTGATCGTCACACTCACTATGAACACTTCAGTTAGTTATGTGGATCTGTAATTAACTCTGGTTTGAATGTGTTGTTAAATGATTCATTAAACAGATCAACCAGAACTCTAACTCTTTACCTTTTTATATAATAAATCATTATTCTGTCAGCATTTATGACGTCTATATTTATTTCTGCTTTTTTTCCCCAACACCTGCAGATTTGAAAGGTTACTCCCTCACTGTCAGACCTGGAGATGAAGTCACTTTGCCTTTTGACAATGTGATAGATGATCAGGATAAGTGTGAGAGTACTGAGTGGAGCTTCAGACATTCAAGAAGCTCAGGAGTGACGCTGTTTAAAGATGGACAGATTCACAAAGAAGCCAAAGCTAAATCAGACAGACTGAGAGTTACACAGAATTGTTCTCTGGTTATAAAGAAGGTCACAGAGGAGGATGCTGGTCTTTACGGCTGCAGACAGTTCAGATCAGGAGAACAACAAGGTTCAGCCTCTGTGGTTTATCTGCGTGTTGTTACCAGTGAGTATTTACATCATGATGTTTTAAACTGTCTCTATAGAGCAATATACTAAATCATTACAATAATTATGATTACAGTGATGAAGTTAATGTTACTCTTGTTGTCTTTCTCTCACAATATCTCCATCTTCAGTGACTGAACATCAGGACAATGATGAGGTGACGTTAAACTGCTCTGTGGAGACATTTGGACGGTGTGATCAAACAGTGAAGTGGCTGCTTCAGGGTCAAGATGTGGTTAAAGATCACAGAGAGATAAAGACATCACAGTCTTCCTGCTCTGCCTCTGTGACATTTCTGACTTCTCTCTTTAGTTACACATCAAGGTCTGAGTTGTTTACTTGTAAAGTAACTGATGAGCTCACAGGAGACGTACAGGTGTTTCCCTTCAGCGATCAGTCCTCAGGTGAGAACATGTTATGCTGTTTCAAATCACTTCTAACAGTCTTGTTATAAGAATATATTGAAACAACACATTTACAACATCTCACATTTATCAGGGATTTAATGAGTTTCTGAAATGTGAAGTGACAGATGGTTATGATAAAAAAGAGAAGCTCTTAATTGAGAAACCAGGTTAGAATATAATGAGTTGTTTAAAATCACTTATCACACATTTAATCACAGATAATGCTTTTGGGATTTGAGGTTTTGACGTCACATCATTTTGTCATTTGATTTATGGAGAAAACATTTTTTTTTTAACTACAGTTTTTTGCATGATGTTGTTTTATTCCTTAAGGAGATGCTACAACAACTGGAACACCAACAATTCATGAATGGACATCTGAAAACAACAACAAAGAAAAAGGACCAGGTAGTGACTGAAGAGAAGAAATACATTTAACAGCTAAAAACCTCTGACTATATTTCACACTTGGGACTTCTCTCTTTCCAGCTGTGTGGTGGGTCATCATGGTGTCTGTGGGGTTAGCAGCTCTCATCATCACCGTGGTTACAGTCCTCATCTGGACCAGAGCTAAAGGTGAGGGTTCATAGATTCAAGAGAAAAGAAAAACTAAACCGTGGAAGCTGAAGTCAACATGTTTGTCTTTTTGGTTTTTTTCAGGGGACAAAAAACGGATGACAAAAAATCTCGTGAGTTTAAATATAAAATAATAGCTTGTAATATTTATTATTTTCATTTAACTGTGATTATAAGACAGGCAGAAGATTCAACAAAGGAGTAAAGTGTGCATGTTGTGTTGAAATGAAGTATCTCTGTGGTTCCCTTGAGCAAGGCACTAAAGGAAGTACTGAGATATTGTACTTCAATAAAAGTAGCAATACTACAATGTAGAAATACTCTAATATATAAATATGATTAATAATACAAATATACCTAAATTGAAAGTACTGATTATGCAGAATGTAATAATATAATATATGATTATAATAAGTGATGTTTTAATGTGTATCACTTCCATTTGCAAAGTATGGTTTATTAAAATGACTTTACATACTACTGGGTAGCTGAACTAGTTATATTTGTCATATAATACATCATAGATGGTGATTTCTGCTCAATTTAAGAATGAAATAAATACAAAATAAAAAAAGGAATATAAAAGATGTTAAAGCAAGAATGTGTAATAAAAATGAATGGATGAAGACGAGTAAAAGGTTCAACATTAAGCTCCAGAATAAGGAGCAGTTAAAGTGTAAAGTAGCATTAACTGATGATAGTCAAGTAAAGTCCTTAAAATATGTACTGAAGTACAAAACTGAGTAAATGTACTTAGTTACTTTCCAGCTCTGCTCTGTGTTTTCACCATGTCTCTGTTCCATGGTGACAGGAGCAGAATGATGAAGATGAAGATGAAGATGAGGTGAACTATGAAAACGATGGATGGGCTTCTACCTCTGTGTGACTGATCAACAACATCAACTCCCCTCAGAGTCCATGCTGTCAAACATCACCTCCTCATATTCTACAGGAGAAAACAGGAGAACCATGAGATCATTGGAACATTTCTGATGACTGAGAACACCTGAGCAGTGTTCATTTTGGCAGCTATTTTTGATTTAGTCTTTAGACAAAAATGGTTATTAGCTTTAGTCACATTTTAGTCCTTTTTGTCCTTCAAAGCTTTAGTCTAGTTTTAGTTAATAGTTACATTTTAGTCAACTTTTCGTCAAAATGTTTTCTCTCTTTAAACTAATTCAGTTAAACACAGGTATCTGAAACTGGAATCAAGGTGACAGCATCAAGTGTTGAAATTCCTTCCATTTCACTCTCTTAACACTTTACTTTGAACGGTACTACTACTCTTAAAAATCGGTGTGCATGCCGCTGCAGCGTGTCTGTTAGGCCCCACCCACCGCACACAGTGAGAGAGAGTTAGGCCCCGCCCACCGCACACAGAGAGAAAGAGTTAGGCCCGGCCCCCCGCACACAGAGAGATAGAGAGGCCCCGCCCCCGCACACAGACCACTTCAGAAACTCAACTCCATATGATAGGAAACATAGCTTATTATATTCATTCCTTTCTGATTTAACATCCTTTAATTATGCTCTCACATTCCCATACATAGTTATATTACTGCTTACAATGTATATTTCTGATTTCATGCTGTTTATTCTGTATATGACATCTCAATATTAGCGTTACTTGTACTTACACCTTATACCTTCACTTCTCACTGTAACTGCTGCACATGTTCATACATACGTTGGGTTGAATTAATAACATATTTAAATTGTAAAATGATCCATAAAATGTTTTTGTTAATTGTGTTCTCTTGGGAAAATCATTCACCCTAGTGTCGATTTAATAACTTTAATAAATGCTTTTATCTCGTTTTTCAATGAATGATTCATATAATGTCTTATCATTAGCCTAACGTGTACCTACAGTATATATACCTGTACTGCCTACTGTAACTGCTGCACATGCTGTATATATCTGATCAAATGTCTATACAATATATTTACTATACTCTCTTTTTTACTCTATATGTATTCCTAAACCTGAAATGCCTCCAGTATCTTAGGATGTTTTAATTAGCTTAAAGGTGGGGTAGGTAATTTTGGAGAAACCAGCTCGAGTGCGCTAGAATTTGAAAATACACAACCGGAAAAAATCTGCCACTTCCTCACAGAGCCCCTCCTCCAACACACACGAACGCGCACATGACCAATGATGGCACCAGATAAGTGTGTGCACAGATGGAAGGCTGACAGGCAGGTAGGCCATCCAGTTATTTTAGCCGGGCCGGCTCAGATGATTGGTCGTGCTTTTTACAGTACTACGGCTTCCACAGATGACTTTTATTGTCAAAGCATTTAAGCATTTATTCATTGCTATCGGGATGTTAAGAGCATTCCATGGAATATAACAAAAAGTGTTTCTGAAGTAAATTACATACCCCACCTTTAAGTCCTAATAGAATATGTTACTCCTTTTTTTACTACGGCTTTAATGATATATAATCCAAATAAAAAGAGTGCTTTTAATCAATGTTATAATGAGTTGTGTTTCTCTCTCTATCTCCAACACACTGACAACACAACGCTTTGTTGGGTTGAACACCTCTCTTTGACCTGGCTCTCACTTTGTAAACAACATACAGTTTGTGTCAGAGCCAAGGAAGGTGTTGCACATTTAGTGGAGCTAATGAATGAAACATGGAAACCAAACGTCTCAGTCGTTATCTCCAGAGACTGTGAAGACCTGGGGGGGAGGGGGAGAACTCAGGGAGGGAACTCAGGGATTTTAGCCTCTGCAGGCCATTGACATACACTAACACCTATAGAACTACAGGAGAGGGAACACCACAGAAGAAGAACAGGGACTCTTTAAAACTCTCCTCATTAAATCTGAGAGAAACACACGGGTAACCCAGGTGTGTGTTACTGCTGTGTCACTGCACCTGTGTGTGTGTGTGTGTGTGTGTGTGTGTGTGTGTGTGTGTGTGTGTGTGTGTGTGTGTGTGTGTGTGTGTGTGTGTGTGTGTGTGTGTGTGTGTGTGTGTGTGTGTGTGCGTGTGCGTGTGTGTGTGTGTGTGTGTATGTGTGTGTATATAAATATATAAATATATATGTGTGTGTGTATATATGTCCGCATCTGTAGCCTGTTATTGTCTCATTATACCGCACTGTGAATGATTCAAAGTAAATATATAAGTCGTCATGAACACATCTGCAGTCAGTCTCGGGGTGTTGCTTTAGATGTCTCACCCCGCAAACCAGATCCCTTTCTCACACACACACACACACACACACACTCACACACACACACACACACACACACACACACACACACACACACACACACACACACACACACACACACACACACACACACACACACACACACACACACACACACACACACACACACACACACACACACACACACACACAAACAAACACATACAAACACACACACACACACACACACACACACACACATAGAAGTCTCTATAGGCATAAAAATGCATCAGTGTGTCATTTCCTTTGTTCAGCTCTGTGTAACACAGCAGTCAGATTCTAATTTAGACTTCATTATCAGCAGTTGTACTTGTATTACTAAATGTGTATTTTCTAAAGCTTATTACATAATGTCGTTAATTAAAATAACTTCTGTGTTGTCAGATTGTCTCTTGTTTTGTCTTTTTTTAGCTATTTTTCTACTTGGATATCAGTAAAAGCCTTACTGAAGGATCTATCCATTTCAACTTGAAACCAACATTTTTTAATTTCCTTTATTTTCGGTAACAGTTATTATATATCAAATAAAAGTGATGTAAAAGTTAAATGTTAAAATACATATTTCTATAGTGGACGCTGAAGGCAGCATCTCCCTGGTCCAATAGGAACTCTCCATTCGATTTTGAAGTAAGAAGCCTGAAACGCCTCCATTGGACTCCTCTGTTTACTTCCTGAACATGGTGACATCACTATGGAATACTCACGCTCCTATCCTATGTCTGCGTGCGCATCTCTCCCAGATGAGCTAAACAGTTTTTTTGCACGCTTTGAGAGCAGCCAGGCTGTGGAGGTACAGAGGGACCAGGAGCTACACTGCCCTTTTGTTTTAAATAGGGCAGATGTGTGTAAATCCTTTAAAAGGGTTAACCCACACAAGGCTCCTGGACCTGATGGCATCCCTGGCCGTGTTCTCAGGGTGTGTGCAGTTCAGCTGGCAGAGGTGTTCACAGACATCTTCAACAGGTCCCTGCTGCAGTCTGTAGTCCCCACATGTCTTAAACACTCCACCATCATTCCTGTCCCCAAAAAGACAATCATCACCTGCCCCAACGACTACCGCCCAGTAGCACTCACCTCCATCATAATGAAGTGCTTTGAGCGGTTAGTCAAATTATTCATCACCTCCTCCCTCCCTGAATCTCTGGACCCCCTGCAGTTTGCCTACAGAACAAACAGGTCCACAGACGACGCCATAGCCCTCACCCTCCACACTGCCCTCTCACACCTGGACCCGAAGAACAGGAACACATATGTGAGAATGCTGTTCATTGACTACAGTTCAGCATTCAACACCATTGTGCCCTCCAAGCTGGCCATCAAGCTCAGAGACCTCGGGCTCAACAGCGCCCTCTGTGACTGGATCCTGAACTTCCTGACGGGCAGACCCCAGGCAGTGCGGGTGGGAAATATCACATCCTCCACCCTGATTCTCAACACCGGTGCCCCTCAAGGCTGCGTGCTCAGCCCTCTCCTCTACTCCCTGTTCACCCACGACTGCGTGGCCACACACAGCTCCAACACCATCGTGAAGTTTGCTGATGACACGACCGTCATCGGCCAGATCACAGACGATGACGAGACGGCGTACAGAGAGGAGGTCGAAAACCTGACATCTTGGTGCCAGGAGAACAACCTCCATCTCAACATCAGCAAAACTAAGGAGCTGATTGTGGACTACAGGAAGCAGCAGGGAGAGGGACACGCCCCCATCGCCATCAATGGGACTACGGTGGAGAGAGTCAAAAGCTTCAGGTTCCTTGGGGTCCACATCACTGAGGACCTGACATGGTCTCTTCACACCACCACCATCACCAAGAAAGCTCGACAGCGGCTCTTCTTCCTCCGCAGGTTGAGGAGGTTCAAAATGGATTCCAGGATACTCTGCAACTTCTACAGGTGCACGATAGAGAGTATCCTCACTGGCAGCATGACGGCCTGGTACGGCAGCTGCACCGACCTCGATCGTAAGGCTTTACAGAGGGTGGTGAAAACTGCACAGCACATCACCAGGACGGAGCTGCCATCCATGGAGGACCTTTACTCCCAGCGGCTCAGGAAGAAATCACTACGGATTATCAAAGACCCCCATCACCCCAGCCACAAACTGTTCTTTCTGTTGCCGTCTGGCAGACGTTACCGCAGCATCCTGGCAAGGACAAGAAGATTCGGAGACAGTTTCTTCCCGCGGGCAGTGAGACTGTTAAAAAATTGAACTGTTGAAACAACTTCAAACATTCAACTGCTACTCAGTAGTATGTATCTAATACCTAATATATATATATCATTCCAATAACTTGTATATAGACTCATACTGCACTATTCCACATCATAACTTTATTTCATTTTTATAACTATTATTATTTTTGTATTGCTCATGCTCTTATTGTTATTATGTTATGTTATTATGTTGCATTGTTGGAGAAGCCTGTGACATAAGATTTTCAACTGCATAATTACTCTGTAGCTATGTCAGATTGACAATAAAGAACCTTGAACCTTGAACCTTGAACCTTGATTGGCTAGCGCTCCAACACATTGCTATACACCTGAACATCAGCAGGAGAGGACTCTTTAAAGTAGAGACACTACACACTGATATACACCTGAACATCAGCAGGAGAGGACTCTTTAAAGTAAAGCACTACATACTGATATACACCTGAACATCAGCAGGAGAGGACTCTTTAAAGTAGAGACACTACATACTGATATACACCTGAACATCAGCAGGAGAGGACTCTTTAAAGTAGAGACACTACATACTGATATACACCTGAACATCAGCAGGAGAGGACTCTTTAAAGTAGAGACACTACATACTGATATACACCTGAACATCAGCAGGAGAGGACTCTTTAAATCCTATAGAGAAATCT